CATATTATTGGATTATAATTATTGATGTATTATTGTGCACATCAGATTTAATGTTGCAACCAGTAAAGGTAGAGCTAGTTTTAACTACATTATATACTTATAATTTGAAGTACTTTACATACTGCTGAGTGAATTTTTCCTATGTGGATCAATATTATACTGTAATGTGTTTTAATAATCACATGGGATTTGATTTAGTACTACATCCTGAGTTCAGTTACGAGTCGGTAAGTTCCTACAGTGGAAAACAGTCTAATTGTCATATCTTCCTTGTTGACGTCCTATATAACATGTGCATCAGCAAAGAAGGCTTTGGCTATTTGTCTTCACTGTCATAAATTCGAGTGAGTCACCACTGCTGCTGTGGCAGAGTCATAGGGTGGGTGCTGGCCATCTGGGCCAAGGAATGAGGACAGAGGCGTGGACACAGACTGCCTATGGGGCAGTGATGTGGTAGTCGTTTATAATGATACTCCCAGCAACAGAGTCTGCATTTGTTAAGAAGTTATGGTGTGCTTATGACAGTGTTTGTGCCAAGCATCTTGTCCAGGCACTGATAACTGATTTACGGATTGATTGATATTCATTTAGCTTCTAAACATGATACGGTTTCATTCTGCACAGACACATTACCATGAGACTGTAATGAGTACTGGAAGTACAAAAACTGGAGTAACTGGTTACGTAATTAAAAAGGGATCCCTGAGTGTACAGTTGCTCTTTGTCAGACAAAGATTTGCACTGTTTGGCTCAACTTTCTTTTCATTTTTTTTAACTGCCACTTTTATGTAATTGACTCAGCTGTGCTTTGAGCTGAAATATAATGCTAGCCTGCCACCATGAAAGCCTGCACTTTGTTTTAGAATATTTAAATATTGGAAAAACACAATAATTGGACTCCTGGAATGAGGAATGGACGCCATACCATGGGATCTCTGAATCTCCCACAGAAGCTCAGTATCTACAGTACATCCTGTTATAATTTGCATCAACCTTAAATATGCAGTGGCAGTGCAAGTTGCAAGACTGTTGCATTTATTGTAACATACTGACCTACTTATGTGGTCTGCTGTTTGTGTCTTATGTCTTGGTGGACACTCAGGAAACGGAATGGGCTAATACTGCATATCAGGGCTTCATCAGTTTGACCTTTCCTTCTGGTTTTCCTCTCAGACTGTGCAGAGTTTCCATCAGACAGCTTGTGTAAGATGGGTTATGTGCAGTTGTGTGTGTTTGATTACGTGTGCCGGAGTGAGTGTGCATGTATGTAATAGCTTCATTATATGTTTTATGAGTAAGAGAGATGGGTAGTTTCAGTAATATTAAATCAGGACAGGCACACTGAAGTTGTTTTGCAAGCAGTACCATTCTTTAGCATTACATTGAAACTACACAAACACCCGCTGGCCAGTTCTTGCTAAGAACTCATATAAATGCCATCTTAGGATCTTGTCAAAATTGATCTGTACGACCTCAATAAGCATCAAGTGTCATAACACTGACAAATACCAAAAAAACGGGGTCAACACCTACTGTGGTTCTCATTCAGGCTGCTATTTACTTAAACTAATGAGCCACAGAAATCACGTTGACATTCACTGACCCAATTTTGAGCTGTGCCATTCTGGCTGATATTTCATCTGCTGGTGATGCACAAAATCACCCTCTGTTGTCATCATCTTATTTAGAAGTATAGCTGTTCTGACACCAATAGGTGGAAAACAGAGCAATCTGTGAAGGCCACAGATGGTAGTGGTGGCGTGAGTGCATGTGATTTTCTCTCTCTCCTTATGCATATGCAAAAATCCAGGGACAGAGAAAAAGCACAAGAGGACACTCTCCTTTAATGACTTAAATATACAGTATATTATTTTATCTGAAAATTTTCTTCTGTATAAAGTGATTCTGCATCAGAAATATATCTTTTATGAACCTGCTAGGTTTTTCTTTGCTTATCCTTGAAGGCACGGGATTCACAGGCACGTGGAAGCTCTTTTATTTGTGAGTAGGAGCATTCATTATTTCTCACCCTGAGACCTGCTATAGTTGGCAACATTGAAGAAATAATAAGAAATAAATAAGCTTTTGTGGCAGTTCCTTAAATGAAACACTTTCATCGATGTTGACTGTGTAAAGGTGAGTCACGGGCATTGGTGCTGTGGGAAATGGTACTCAGCACCAGGGGATCAAACGACAGTTGAATACAGTACAGGAAACATTATCGTACTGATATAAAGGAACCAAATGATGAGATCGTAAAGTTTTTTTTTTTTGTTTTGTTTTGTTTTTTGCACCAAGCTATACTTGTACTTCAATTAGAAACACTCCGCTTGTTTTGTTGTGATGGTGTGTTAAATAATTCAGGTCACACAGTGGGAAAAAAACTACTATACTATATAATAAGTGTATAAAAATGTGCAAAAATAAACAGAAATAACCTTAAAGTCTACAGTTAGACTACAGTGTTTGACCTAACCTAGAATAAACATTTCAATTGCACACGCTCCAAACAAAAATGTGAATTAGCAGAAGAATAAGATTAATGGATATGGCCAGCAGGCATGTATATTATCATGGTTTATTGTCAATTATAAGTTCTGTCTATATATCCAGTTACTTCACTTTGTCTTGCACCTTCCTTCTCTTTTTTCTAAAAAGCTCATATCAGTCTTTACTTCTTCAAGGCGGGATCACAGATACTGGAACAGTAGGACTTATCCTTTTGTCCTCCAATCCTGTCTCACTAATGTTACCTACTACTGTCCATCCAAAACTCCTCTGCTGACCTTTCTCCTTTTCCTGACACCCTTCCAGTAGTTTTTGAGTGGGATGACCCCCTTCATGCCCTTTTAAGTTTGCCCAATAAGTTAGTGCCAATTGTGTTCTTCGTAAAGCCAAAGGTAATTCATCCATTTCCACTTGTAGGGCTGAAACTGGTGTTGTCTTCATGGCCTCACAGCACAGTCTTAAAACTTGATGCTGTCTGCAGTTCAATTTGTTCATCAAGGTCTTGCATGGTGATTCATAAACTATACTACCATAATCTAAAACAGACCTGATCAAACCAATATAAATCCATTTTAAAGATCTACTGGCTCCCCACTCCCTACCCCACAAACATTTAATAATGTTTATTACTTTCTTGCACTTTGTAACTGTTTTCCATATATGTATTGCCTAAGTAGGTCTCTTGTCAAACCATCTCCCTGAATATCTAAAACAATCCACTCTCGAGTTTCTCGCCATACAATTTAAGATTATCTGCAGGAAACAGCTCTTTGCTCAGCCTTTTATTTGGCTGCTTGACCAATATCTGGGGGAGTTGCTGCTGCTGGGAGAGGAGTGAGACAAGAGGGTAGAGGAGGCCTGGCTTACATTTTGTCCAGTGACTCACTGTGCCAGCTCCAAACACACACACACACACATGCACACACACATAGAGGTAAAAATATTCTGCATGCACATACTGTCATAAAGATCATGTACTGTAGAGCTCCTGTCCAATAAATGTTTTGGATCCAAAGAAGGGCATATATCTTGAATTTGACATGGCCTGAAAATTGAGATTAGACTGACAAACCCACATGAGGTAAATCTGTGATTTGTGTTATTGGGCTATACAAATAAAAACTGACTCGGTTCAGTTAGTTTACTTATTCTGCCAAAACAGCTTTCGACACCAGTTTGAAATATTTAACGTTTTATCATTGCATGCTATCTTTTTCTACTCAATGACTAATGGGTGTGAACACTGATTGAAGAAGGGAATAAAATACACTTAAAATAAGGTTATTGATTTACCATGGTAATACAGTGCACAATGATTTGGAAAGACTCAAATTCCTAGTTATTACAAATCAGCTCTAAGAACGTGTATGTAAAACACCGACTATGTTTTACAGCTGCGATGGCAATGAGCCAGTGTTCTTCTAAATGCTCATTCATTTCCACCTTTTAGTGGAACTTCACCTTTCTTTGATAAGAGTGCATAAAATCTGTTCTTGTATCCAAAAATGCTGTCATCAGTACTATAAGACGTGTTTTGATTAGCCAAGTTCAGAAGTGTCTTAACGGACAGACTCGGTCACAGCCAACAGGAAAGACAGTGTACCAGATAAAAACCAGGTCAGTAGGTAACCTGTTTGTTGCCATATACACAATCGAAGGCTCCTACACATGTCCATGTGGTGTTCACTTTATGAGTCTGTAGGAGTATCATCATGTGATGTTTGGGTTGGCTTTAAATGCAGCGCTGATATAGTGAGTCATCTAAGGTTATGCTGGGTGTTTGTCTTCACTCCACTGTCAAACAGAGCTGCAAAGAAAGACTAAAATTGAGCTGCTTGTGTTTCTTGGATGAGCTAGCAATGCTGCTGCTGTGTCAAATCTATAACTGCTGCTTGCTCTGAAGGTAAATATGCTCAAAGTGTTTGCTGGTGAATACAGGCTGAGGGCTTTCAGAGACTATAGCACACTTATAGGCTATTGTCTGTTCCCACTGTATTACCTGTCCACATTTGTTAGTTGGTTCTCTGTGCTACTGTCACTAATCACTGGTTTGAAGTCTACAGAAAGTAAAAAAAAAAAAAAAAAAAAAGCCACTTAGTTAACGGTCCAGTCTATTATTGCTATATGAGATGAACAGTTGAAAAACTGTTGTTTATCAGTACCCACAGACGGATTGTGAGACAATGGGCACCAGGGCACAGACATGTCAAAGGCTTCTAAGAACAAGCAACAAGATGATTTGTATTTAGTCGGTCTCTTCTTGTGGTTGTTTTCTGTCCATTTATAGTTGGTTTGCAAATGTCCATGCAGTCAAATGTCTCTCAACCCTGGGCTGTCTAGGCTTAGGGTACGATTCTGACCCCCAAACTACCAACCCACCTAAAGTATAGGATTTTTTTTTTGTGAAAGAACAATGTGATTCATTCCAGACAAAGAAAAAAATAATTATATTCCAGCACATCTTGATACAAAATGCATTTTAGTTCCAGGTATAAATTGGGTTATTTTAATGTCAGCACATTCAGGGGTCAATTGTTGTCAGATTTGAGTGAGAGAAATAGGTCACATCAGGCTTGTAACAAACAAGAACAAAGCCATGAGTTCATATAATGATTCAAAGCATCCTACTTTTCATGATGATGTGCGTGTTGTTCAGCTTTACTCTCTGACTGACAGTTTATCCCTTGGCCCTGACTGTGTAAAATCATGATTGAATTAAATGTAGTCATATTTGCAATTATGATGGGTTTTTATTATCTGGACTTTTTGGTGACAATATCAAATAAAAACTGTTTAATGTATTCTCTTTGTGTAACTAGAACAGAATATACATGTGGTGCATTTACAGAGTTGCAGGAATAGCAGTGTTCAAACTGATATGTGGTTCATCAAGTGATAGCCTCAGCAAGGGCTGCTACCACCACTTGTCTCTAATTATCCACTGTTTATCTGCTGGCTTATGTGCTGCCTGTACTCCATTCAAGAGGGTCTTCCAACCCTTGCTGCTATGTAACAAGTGGCACTCCAGCATGGCCAAATGAAGCACAGCTAGTACCACTGGTCTGACAATATTCCTACAAGTGCTGAGAAGGAAGACAAACATCTTATGGTACCTCTTAAAGCCTGAGACTATCCTAATTAGGACTTTGACAAAACAGCAATTAAATCCATGAATAAGGACAAACACAGCAATGTTGTCATTTCATATGTGGCCAGAATATCTGCTAAACACATGGAGGCCATTGCTTAATTGTCTAGAGAGTCAGTCTAACTGTATCTAATGGACAAGGGATACGGACGCTCCTGTGAGGATGGTAGCACACACATATTGGACAGAGTAGTGGTTTGAAAGAGGACAGAATATGTATTTAGTCATCCAAGTAATAAGACATTTTCGGAGATGTGATGACCCACTTAACGTGCCAGCTAGTTAGCTCTACTTAGCAGACAAAGTTGTAGCCATTGTGCTCGTATTATCACATTCAGTAACCTATGGGCTGTGCCATAAGATGTATGATGTGGTGGTTCATGTATAATTAAGTTATATGGTAATGGGCTCAAAGCCTCTGTCACCATAGATTTTACCCTCTATAACAGTGAGCAGTGACAGCTGTGCTACTACCATTAGGAATGAATGAAGAACAAGCGACTAGTGTGTTGTCACGTGAACATCCAGGTCAGTTACTGTTCAGTTCCAACATCAGTGCAGCATATAAATCAGTCATCTGGTATGGGGGTGTTGCAGTTCCCGTGGTAGATATATACGGGTCCGTCACAGCGATAATACAGCTGAAACACATCACCATATCCGTGGTCCCTCCACCATGTGCACAGTTGTCTGTTCCAGCGACAGGCTAGGGAATAAAACAGTTCAGGATGCTCCATGCCGATCATGGTGAAGAAGTCCTGGTCGCCCAGATGGCCCCTGAAACGATACTGGTCTGCAAGTTTAGCAACATTGCTAGGCTTCAGCAGCTGATTGTAAAGAACCGAGGCCCTCATTGCTCTTAGGTCCAATAACATCACGCCACTGTTGAATCCCGGGAGGCCATCAGGAGGAGGCGACCCTACTTTAGTCTGAGGGTTCTCCTTACGATACTGCCAGAAGGTATGTCTGCACAAAGAAGGAAACAGGTGTTAGTCATAGTTCTGACAACACGAGTTAATCAGCCATTTTCAACCAAATGACCTGCAACAAATCAGCAAGTTAAGATGAGTTTTTTTTGGATTTTGTACTAAAACTGCTTTGTAGCGCAAAGTGCCAGGTCATACCAGCATTGAAAATGGTGACAGTCTGGACCACACTGCTAAAATTAGTGGACTGGTGAAGTGAGTTTATACAGAATGTTTGTAGATTTCAACTTTCGTGACACCCACATTTCCAGACTGGCCAGAGAGTGGTTTATTTTTTTAAACTTGACATAAATTTATAAGTCAGAAAATGGGCTGCCATACAAATACATGTACAAGCACAATCCATATACATGCCTGATGTATTTGTTACTAGCTAGTTTACCGATGTCAACACAGACTTCAAGAATGGTCCAGCAGTCAATTAGTTCAAATGATGCAAGGCAAAAAAGGGCTTCTCTTTCAGTTTGAAAATGTCCCCCACATTGCTGATACAACTGCTAACTGCTGATTTGTAGTCTGAGCCCATTGAGTGCTATTAAAAGCACACCATCTCCGAGTTCATCCTGTGTACAGTCAAGAAGCTACACAAGTGTGGTGAAATGTGTAACTGTGTTTGGGCTGTTGTACATCTAGAAAGGCAAGTGGCATCTTTGTTTCAGTCATTGGCTGAACAAACAACACTGTGGCCAAAAACAGGAAGACAGTAGGTCCAGGTGTGTCAGAGCATGGTTAAAGTGCCAGAAAGCTTGGGCCCAGTAAGCACCCTGTTCTGCCAACATACCCAGTGCGAAATAGCAAATCTGTATGCATGGTTCTGAAGTGTGTGCACACAAGATCCTTTGTGGTATTTATTGGTATTCTCTTATTTCTGCTGGTTTCCTAGAGAGATGGTCTTCTGATGGTTGTCTAGTGTAATAAATAGTATTTGGTTTATACATGCAATGCATATTGTAAAGAAGAGCCACTACTAGCTGTATGAAAAATTAGATTTAGCGAAGTTACATACATCCAAACATATTTCCAGCTAAACAGCAATTTGCAAGGACAGGGTTTCTAAACTGGGACCAAATGTTCGAATACTAGCTAAAGGAGAGGACCTACACTTGTTGGAAACAGTTGTGAGAATAGCAAAGAAGGAAGGAAGACATGAGTAAGGGAAATTCACTTGACTAAAGCTGAGGTGGTAAAAAAAAAAAAAAAAAAAAAGAAAAAAATATTCTTTCTTTTTAAGCACTGAAGGTTTTGTTTGTTTGTATACTTCTATCAAGTCTACAGAGACCGTATGCTCTTTTTTGACTAACAGCTTGTGCAGTGTTTTATTTCTATCGAACACTAGGAATTAATGATTATATACTTATTCTTGGACGTATGTGTATACGCATACATTTGACAGAACTGAGGTTATTCTTGGTACTGGCCAAACTAGAGGAAACCTACTCAAAATTAAGTATTAATGGTGAAATATTTCAGCATAAAGCACACGAGGATAGAAGACAGTCAATCTTATCAAAATACAATATCATCCTTTACGTGCTATTAATCAGCTGAGCTCTGTTGTTGTCTTGGTGCAGACAAACATGGGAAAATTGTGTAAAGTAATAATGGCTATCCCCTCTCTCTCTGTGCACTTTGATCAAATCTATTGGGAGCAGAAGATTCTTATTTCACTGAGTCACGCTTTGATATTTTGTTGACCTATATTCAGCAGCTGCAGCTTGTTCCCGATTTTATACAGACAGTTTGATAGTCGGGGACTTGTGGCCACTGTGGAGCATTTATAATTTTTAAATACAGACACTGGGTTTACGTGCCCAGAAACACATTCAGGGTAAGAGTGGTCAGTAAGGGAACATATACAGAGTTTTCCATTCATCTGTTTTGTCATGAAAATGTACTATGTGAAACAGACTGCATTTACTTTAGTGTCATGTTAGATATTTTTAGTCAGATAGATATTGGATAGATACTTTATGTATTAGAAATGTTTAGTGGAGATAGGATGTCTAGTTAGACTGTTAAATGCTTAGTCATGCTTATGAGTTTCTACAGGGTACATCTGGTCAAGGCTAACTAGAGAGAAGAGTTGATGACTGTCAGCAGACAGGGTGTTTAATATTATTATTATGATGTGTATAACTGTAGACTTAGCCATAATATGTTCTTAAGTTTAATATCACGACATGTACTAGAGGTCGCGAGAATGTTTTTAGTTACACACCACTTAATCAACAGACACACACACATGCACGTTGATTTACTTCATGTTTTGACTACTGCTATGGCCAGCTGCAAAGCTGGTAACAGAGACGTCTCGGTTGACATTTCTGTGTAGTATGGGGCTAGCCCAACCGAAGGGAAATAATGTATAGGCCTGGTGGGTTCAGGGTCTTTCATCTTACATCTGCCTGCATGCAGGATGGAGGTGCAAGATACCCGAGCGTGTAATGTTAATTTTACCTGTGATCGTTTGAATAAATCAGCACTGTTTTGAAGTTACTTGGACTGTCTCGTCTCTCAGAGTTAGCAATGGTAACAAGAGCCATAATCCTACAGTCACGATGGCCATAATATACACCATACTGGATATGATGTGACAAAGTTGAAAAAGAATAAGATTCAGCTGAGGCACGTAGAGATGGGCAGTTCTGGGCATATTTTAATGACTCCGTGCTGGCTAAAACAGTGGCCTTCCAATTTTCTTTCTTGACTGAATTCTACTGTTCTGTCCATCTCAGCCTGCTAGTGTTGTAGCACACTGCTTTCCTGTGTGAAAGCCAGACTCTGCAGTGCGACCTTGCATGTATACTGAAAATTAGCAACACATCCTTTCTCCTCCTTATTAGGAAAGACCAATTCACAGAACATTCAGGTAGTAGCTTCTCATTTTTAGGTGACACTAAGTACTGTTTTGTATGAGCTGTCATTAAATAAATGTTAACCCTGCCAGTAATTACCTGTTACTTCCTGTTGTTGGGTGTGTGTGTGCGCTCTCTGTAGCCGGTGTCTGTACTCAAAGATCATTTATGACAGGAGAAGGCCACTGTACTAGCACGAGTGGACTTTTTCCTAGTTTCCAGCAAACCAACAGAGTGATGCATCTTCTCCTCTAATGTGCTGTTGCTGATCTCGTCATGTCGATTTCACCCCAGATATACCCAAAGTAAATTCTAAATCTCAAACTCAAAAACATGTTACCTCAAGATTTGTTTTAAATATTTCTTATATAACTGTACTATACAACTTTAAATGTAATGTATCATGGAGTCTCAGTTTACTCTAGATTATACTTTTACTGAGGTAATTAAAATACACCAGAAGCATAAAATATACATGAAAATATTTCCAGATTACCTGTAGGCTTAATGCACAAAGGCATGTGTTACCAGGTTATCTCTTGCACTGTATCAAATATGTCTGTGCTGTTATCATCCTTATATGAAGTCATACAAACTTTGAAACAGTATGGCCAACATTGCCTAATAACCTGTGTGGTCATATAAAACACCTGGGTAACTTCGAAACATACCTATCACCGTGGTATATTTCCTCTTGCCTTGGATCACAGTGAAACTTCTCACTCTGGCCTCTGAGAAGTTATGAGATTAGAGTGTTGAGTACAGAACACAGCTCTGTTTTGTCACAGCGACTTTCATTTTTCTATTCCTTTGTACAAAACATTCAAATCTGGATATAACCTTTTACTGTAACGCTTATCCCTCTTCTCCAACTCAACAAGTTCACAGCTCCCTCTTCCAGTTTTCACTGGCAAGTTTTCAAGTAAAGTGTCTCTCTCTTTCTTTCTCACTGAAAAGCATTAGCAGGTGACAAAGACATTTTGCACTGCCATCCCAAATAAATGTGCCAAATGTATCCAGAACTTTGTTCAGGATAAGAAACATGCTTCTCTGTCAAATCCCTGTAATATCTGATCCTGGGGTACACAGATGAAATGTCTGGTATATTGAAAGACAATTCCAGGGAAAAGAGGAGCCTTTAAACAAGAAAGCCCACAATCTGCTGCCAGTTTAAAATCCAAGTTTACAAAATCATTAAGAACATGCATTAGTTATTGCATGCCTTACTTATAGCCTTTAACACAAAAACTTTGTCTTCCAGTTGCAAAATGTCATTTTGATCATAACAAAAACAGGACTGTAAAACAGTAAGATAAATAACCATTGCCAAATTAAATATTTCACATTCAACAAGTGATTCTGACTGGGAGTCAAAACTGGGAACTGGGATGTGTCACATAGTGGGGACTTGATACACAAAGCCTGAGTAGAGTGACTTGCTTTTGGCTAAAGTCTCTCGCTGTGCGTTTGTGGCTTTGGTTGTAATACTTATGTAAGAGGGTCTTGTCTCCTGGGTTTAAAACTTTACAAATGCAGCTGCGGGAAAAAGGCATGGGCCATTTTTTTCCCAATAATGAACTTTTCAGTGGCAGGATGTGCTCTGACTGTGCAGCTGGTGGGAGGATGTGTTCTCGCGCATAATGCTCTGTCCATTAGCACCAAAACAAAGTGGGAGCTGAGAGCCCTCTCCATTCAGCACAGGAAAACACTCCAGTGGAGAGGATGCACACAATGTAACGCTAATACCAAGCTTCAAAATTAAAACATTACTACAACATCCAACAAAGCCCATTTTACATGGCTGACAAGCTGACAGTGGAGGTGTTTCTCCAATATTCACTCTGGTTGGATTATTTTCTAAATGCCACACTTTATACACAGAGTGTGGCCATGCTGATTTGTTCTGGGGTGAGATGAATTCTCCTTTCTCTGTGAACTTTCAGCATGTAGCAATGTAAACATGGAACAGCAACTATTGTACTGCTCCAATTAAAAGACCAATGCTCATTATTCAGATGTGCCAACAGCTGTACTGTTGATGTTGCTCAATCCCAGGGCAATACTTCAAAATTCATTTTACACTTAGTGGATTTTTATCCAGTAATTACGCATGGCATAAAAACCACAGTTTAAGCAAAAGAATCCAGCCTTGTTCTTGAATTGTTACAGCCAAGCATCTGTCCAGGTCAATACCAATATTCTTGAGTGAGGTGAACTCCCAACTGCTGTCAATGCTTTTAATTTCCTTAAAAAAAAAAAAAAATTAAAAAAAGAGAATGAGAGAAATCACTTGCTGGTCCTGGAATGTACTTGGAAATATGCTGGTAGAACAAGTTGTCTGTCATGACACAACAAACACAAGGGCACCCCCACTGGTCTCTGAAGACTGTGACCATTTGTGTGAACATTTTGGTGACTTCCCTTAAATTCCCAGTTCATGCTAATAGGCATGATGTCCTGCTGTGCTGTCGTGCCTTTTATATCGACGCGTCCAAGCACACAGGAACAAAAATTAGCAGGGAATTCCCAGGGTTAGTAAACCACTGGTGACAGAGCAGTGACAATGAAGATACAGATCTGTTTGGAGATGTTGGTGCCAGGAAAACTAAGGTTTTGTTCCTAAAACTACTACTACAAACGTGCCATCACCAAAATTTAAATTTATGCAGACTAAGCTTTACTGTCTCACGTACACGATTGCACACACACATATGCAGCTTTTACCCAGATGACACAATCATTTAGCAACTCTGTCATAACAATCATATCAGTCATTAATGCAGACATCATATCATATACAAACTCAGGGACTAGAAATTGGAATTGCAGTACATATTCATATTCCTTCAAAACGATTCCCTCTTGAGACAACCAAGAGACCATCAGTCATAAGATGTGAATGCACTTCACAATTCAAGTGAGAGGGCAAACATTAAATTGGAAAAGTGAAAATTTTTTTTGTTGCAGCCCCAGTTTCATTAATATGGTGCTCATTGATAGTTTATAAAATTAACGATAAGATAAAGAAGATACTAATAAATAAGTCTACTTAGGAGTAAAACAAACATCAAACCTGCAACTTATGTCCATTTGCCTTCTAACTTAAAACAAACATGTTCTGATTCATTGTTTTATTCACACAAAGCCTTTAAATCCCCGGGGGAAACCACCTGGCTGTGTGCTGATTCCCGTAACCAGCTGCTACACCTTCCCTCGCCTTATACAATCTTACTATCCCAAACACACACACACGCACAGACAATGACGTCCTGTTTTTAATGCTGTGCCTGGATGGAAAACAGAGAAGTAGTCTAAACAGATCGGGCCTGTTTGTTCTGCTATCTTGGAGAGGGACGGAAAAAAATCAGCTGAAGAACAAAGGGCTTGAAAGTCAGTCCCTTGGTTACATGTATCTGCACAAGCATACAGAGGCACGCTTGTGTTTTCATAACTTCAGAGGACATTACATTGGCTTACAGTCACTTCCTGGAGACTTATCCTAACCTTAACTATAACCACTAATACTTAACCGTAAACTAAGTCATCACTCTGAAATGTAATGATGTACGTTTTGTTGACCTGGTTTTTGTCGAGTCCCCACAGTGTGACCGTGTAAACAGATTTAAATCCTCACGAGTAATACCAGCCCCCTGCCCAACCACACACAAAATCCAGTATTACTAGTAATAAGCAAAAAAAAGATTGGTAATTTTTGTGGATAAATATGGATGGCGCGTATCCTTGTTGTCGTAACCACATGAAAAGCCAATAGGAGGACACTGGCTGATAAGAGAGCTGAAGTGGGAGGACCAAATGGACAGTTGTGTACCAAATCAGAAAGCTTCTTACCTAACTTTCTAGACCAATATGAAAAGATTAATAATGACTTCAGTTTATGTGAACAGTGCAAACCTTTCCCCATTTAACATAATGTACTTCTCTGTGGCTGGCTTGCACATAAAATTTAATCAATCTAAAAATAGCTAAGTTATAATTTAGATTAGGAAATTGCTGATCAAAGGCTAAAAACAGGGCTAACAACATGGCCAAGCACTTAGTAACTTTGCATTTTTGATGCAATGACTCTTCCACACACTCCCTTCTACTGTGTGTTGCCATAGTCTGTCAGTCCGAGGGATGAGCAGACTGTTTACTTACTTCTGACAGAAGATGCATCTGATTCACAGGATGAGAACAAAACAGTTCCTGCCAAGAGGCGTCTCTCCGTTTAAATCCTGCCAAATCTTCAATCACCTATCTGCACGAAGGGGTTCTAAATAGCTTCTCCATAAAAACATGACATCATAACCCCATTGTTGAAACATTACAACTGTGACTTCACAGCTGCTATCACGAATAGGCTTAGGTGGAAATACTGATAAAAGCAAAACGGGACAAAGGGCAATGGAAACAGTGAATCGGTGTGGACATACACAGTATAATGCATACTGTGTGACTTTGGATGCTAATAAACATCTACTGAAGAGACAAAAGAACTAACAGATGAAAACATCATATCTGAGTGGAGCCATGAGGAAATAGTGTCCCCCAAATTAATTAATGAAACAAACAAATGTCATGTTTTTGTCATGTTATCTACCTTCCCCCCCCCAACCATGCCACTCTTAATTATGTCATCTTGCTGCCCCCCTCTTCTTCCAGTGGTTTACTGGGCCCGAGAGCGAGCTAAACAAACTGAAAACTACAAATATGAATGAACATCCCAACGATCTGAGGAGGACCAAATGTCCACAGTATTTGTTCTTCCAGGTTTGAATTAGATTCCATTGTTGAAACACATTAACAAATATTTCACTTTGAATGGTAACTAGAGTAAATATTTCACAAGTTTGGTGTTAAATTTATCTACAAAATAGTAGAATGACAATCAGAACATCATCCTATTCCCTCCATGATGTCCATGACAGTGACAAATGTAAATTTCAGCACAAACTTTATTTAAATCAATTAGTTGGTTAACATAATTTTGCCTCTTATTTGGGTCCAGGTCTGAAGGTATTATATTATGCTCTGTGTGGTAGGGCAAGGGTCTTAAAAGCCTTCCCTCATGTGTTGTGTGCACATTGCCTACCTATAGACTGGTTGCATCTCTCTGGCGATGCCTATTACTGCTCCTGGAGGAAACCGATCAAATTCTTGAAAGAGGTCCCTGATGTTGGTCCTGTATTTTAGATCCAGGTCAAGCTGCACTATACGTGTCAGACCTGAAGCAAGAACACAATGTTAAAAAAAAAAATCATCACATATACAACATATTGATAAGACAGCGGCACACACACTATAACTACTACCTCCTAACTGCACTGTCGGCTCCCTCTGAAGCCACTCTTTCAGTCAAAACACAATTTTAATCATGATTATTCCAAAGTATTTAGCCATGAAAAAGACTTGTTAAACAATGACAAAGAACAAATGTCCTTTGTCTATGACATATGATCTCCGTTTTTAACGTTATCCCAGGAAATCTGAGTTATCTGTGCATGTGGGCTGCATTTCTCTAACCACTGCCACATCATTAAGTGACTGCCTGCCTAAATACCTCCAGGAATACAGAGTTACAGGGCAGACTCTGACAGGCCCTTGGAATTCTTAATGCAATTATATAGTTATTTTGAAGTGGTGTGCTAGACTTCTGCTTTCTCTAATGTTACCACTGACCTAAAAGAAAGAAAACCGCATACAAATATCTACAAACTGTTGGGAGAAATGTAAAGAAGGTTGAGCACAATGTGTATGTTTGGCAGCTGTGAGCGTACGCGCGCTAAATGACAGTGTCTTGTTTTTTGTGGATGAAATACTAACGGTAACCAGGATATTCAAGTCCTCATCTGTTCATTGTTTCAGCTTCCTATGTTTTGCTAGTTGGCATGGTAATGAAAGGATGGGAAATACTCAGGAATGGTGCACTGTGAGCACAATGTTAATTACTGAATATTTGTCATTTCAGCTTGAGAGGTACAGTCAAAGACGGTGGCCGTGTGGTTTGAGGGCAGTAAACATTAGTTTGAAAAGCTTTTGGCTTAAAGTTAGACAAATTCATCTCAAGCATTGCTCTAATTAGAAAACAATACACTGGTGTTTTCTACAGCATATGCATTTGGTAACTGTTTAAAAGTTGGTATTTGGACCATAATCAGCACGACACTGAACAGTGAGATGTCCCAAAAAGTATGCCGTGTTACCTCTCCTGCCACAGTTACTGCCCAGGTTACAGGTTTTTTTTATGAGTGAAAAATAAGATAATACCCGAAAGAGCTGGGACTCAACAAAGCCAAATGAAATGCACAACAATAAAGGGTACAGCTGTGGTGAGACAATGACGCAACTAGAATTATGCGCTAAAAGATACTGTTGAAACAAGTGACAAAAAGAGAACACAGCAGAGAGAAGCGTAGTCTGAGTGGTCAGCGCGGTTTGTACGAACAGGGCTTAACTAGGTCGAGAATAACAGGAAGAGAGTCTTAAATAGTTAAAACATTGTGATGTGATGGGTCTGAGGTTGGATCAGTGACACTACACAGTCATGTAGGGTTGGACACTACACTTTTACAGCAGCAGTGCAGCATACCTTTAAACTGTAACAATGACATACAATATACTGTATTGGCCCCATTAAATGTTTGACATTTGCTGTTAAAAGTCCTTCTACTGCTGGATTGTCTTATAATAAGAAGAGCAACCAGTCAGCGACTGAAGCAACATGTCTAAACTGGTTGTTCTTTCCCATGGATGTATTATGGGAGAACTGGACACAAGATTGCTAGGCAGCGCCTTCTCATTCACATGAAAGTTGCTCAGTGGCACATAGAGCAAAAAACCTCTTCATACCTCTGGATTTCAGCCATGAGAATGAGGACATGCTTCAGTATTTTTGGGCCCATAGAGCACGTGTACTTGCATCGAGCCAAGTCTCCCACCAGACGAGCTGGGTGACTTCCAATTGGCGCCATGCATACATGAGTGGGATAAAATAAAAATATACTATGGAGAAACTAAACTTTCCAAATGATAATGGAATCCAATTCTGATAGTCATTTCACTGGGTTTGTGACACTGAAAATTTTACAGCCACTCCTTTTACAGTGGTTCTCAATGAGAAAAATGATTTTTGCGCCAGTGTGCATCATATGATGAGTGTGGAAGTTGTAGTACCGCAGTTTGGAGGCTATGCCCGATTTGCTTCACAGCCCAGTGCTGAGCCTGGGGGCTTCTTTTTTCCCACAGCTGAACTTTCTTGTGCCAGAGCTGGAGCACATTTTCAAGCCTTTCTCACACTTGTGAACTTGTTTCATTTTGAATGTGATAACAGAGGCAGCAAATGTCTGCATGCCTAGCCTACAGATAACACGAGATATCTGACTGATTCACACCAACTTAGTGTGTATGTGTCCACATATAGCACAGTTTTATTTCAGTAACCCCTTAAATATATACTGTATGATGATTGGATTTACAATGACTATTAAATGAAAAGGAAAAACTGAAATAATGGAGACTGTGCTTGTTGTAAATTTATTGCAGGAAGCGTCATTAAGGTGGCTTAGAGCTCATCAGAGGCTCTGGTCAGCAAACTTCAGCACAACCGCAGCAACACGACAGAGACGCACTCATCTAACATCAAATTTTACCCGGAAAGAAAGTGGGTCAGTGCCATTAAGGGTCAGTGGTTTCTGCTTTTACCAACATTCAGTGGAAAACACCCTGGTTATTTTAAAGGAGGAGATCATTTGAAATTCATTTTCACCCTGTTTATCTTCCCATATATCCAAAAGTTGTTTTTTTACAGCAAGGGGGAAAAAAAACTGTCTACTGCTGTTTGCAATAAACAGCATTTCTCTAGTCCCAAGTCACTATTTAGAAAATCAAGTTTAGACTTGAATCAAATTACTGAATGTTACTCTTTTCCAGCACGATGCTATCGCTGTAACACAAAAATTCTAAATAATAAATGCATAGTACGGATGTTCTGCACATGTGTGAGAGAAATATCTACCCCTACCAGAAGGTGACAGTATCTGTATTCACCTTTCAGAAAGGGAAAGAATACCTAGACTGCGGAAATACAGCTGTAAACAAAGAAGCTCTTGTTCACAACAGCTGCTGTTTATACCTGCTGCTAATTGAGAATACGTCTGATAAGAAGTTGTAAACAGCAGCGCCATTCTCTCCTTGGTCTTTTGGTTGTGGACGAAGAATGAAGGTCACGGAAGTGAAAAATAAGGGTAAACCACACTAACTGTCAGCTTGGTGTGTCATGGGACTAAGAGGATGAGAATAGCCCAGAGCTCTAATACTACTAGTAATAGTCTTACATAAACAGAACATCCACATTGCCAAGTTTTTTGGTTAGTTCCACCAGTTAAGCAGGGGGGAGGCCCTCCTCATATCAGGTCTCTAGAAGCCTGAATCAAATTCCACATTAAACCCTTTGTAGACCCGATCAAGTGTCTAAGCAGGCAGTCCTAGCAGCTACAGGTCTTTCCTGTGACGTACCTGATATGTCCTCCAGCCTCCTAATGTTTTTCTAATGTTTTTAAGTCAGGACATTTAAATTGAGCTCTAGCTCGATCACATGCCACCATCCCTGTGACGTTCAACCATGACCTGTTTACTAAAGGTCAACTTTATTTTAAAAAAGCAATACATCATGTAGGTATTAGAATTAAGTAAGTACACCTTTGGTGTATCGGAACAGAATTTCAACAGCCACTTGTGGCAAGTGTTGTCATCCCTTTCAAGAAGAAACTAGACATAACATAAAATCTACTGAAATAAGTCTGCATATTTAACATCTACCTGCTACCGCATGTAATTTCAAGCTAGCCTGACAATAAACAGGTCAGCTGCTACCCTCCCTCCCTTCCAGGATTCTTTGCCATTTTAGCAAAGCAATTCGCACATTAACAGTACCACTTCTGCCCTGGATGGAAAATAAAGGAAGAGATTGTTGAACAAACTCAAGTCCCTGCATGTTGAGAAATCTAGAGGGGATACGACACATGGAACACTTCTGCGCTAACAAAAACAGTGTTTCAGTGGAACTTCATCATTCATTACGACACGTTTCCATTGTGTTATTTTACTTCTCACTCTCCAAGGACTGATAGCGTAAAAATAGTCTTCTCTCTACATGACTGCCTTGATTATGCCCTGTTAAACTGTCACGGTCTTCGAACTTTCACAGCAGCGTCTTCTTAAATTCTGACAAATATTTGTCAAAATATCTTGGATGGCCCAACACTAACACCTCCCTTCTCCTTTGACAACCAAATTAAACTTGCTGAAATCGCATCTCCCACTTCACAAGTTGGAGGATGTTAAATTTCCAGACCTCCCACATGCAGCTGCCATTTATTTGTGGACATGGTCGTTTAATCATAAATGTTGCCCCCCGGTCTCCTGTGAGGTTTGCTGAATGAAGACTGTTTCAGAAAAATAGTTAAATCAAAGAAGAGATGTAAATTATGGTGGTGTAGGTTTGTGCACCACAAAATCCCCACAACCACATTATGCCTTTTCTAGATAAAAGCACTCTTTAAATAGAAATGTGGCACAGAGTGGATGGATGGCACACGGCTGATCAATAACCGTTTTAAGGACATCAGACACCAACAGGCACAAGTACAGCTCAGCTGCTTATCATACAAAGCCAGTACCACTTTGGCAGTATGTTGACAGCTGAATAAAAGTCACACACAAACATTTCTCACTCAAGCAGAATAATTTATTTGCCATCCTTTTCTGCCTTAGGAAAGTCATCTTTTTCTTAATAAATGTCCTCTTCTGTTTCTGTTTTCCTTTGTAATGTAAACAGTACACTTTGTTGTGCCATAGATGACCTTAAATAAAATACCTGGCCTTGAACTTGTCAGTATCTTTCTTTGGTAGAAAACAAATCAAGCTGGACAATTCAGGTTTCAGCTCATGCAAATGATTCTCAGTACTGTCATGTTTATGAAAACAGTAATGAAAACTCCTGGAAAACAGAAACCATTCACTTCAGAACACCAAACATTTCAACAAAAACACTACATCCTCTGTTCTTAATATGTTGTGCCCTATTTAAATGTTTAAATTGTTATGGCTATGATTTAAACTGTCCAAATTACATCTTACTGTGCAACTTCAGTGGGATGGTGCCCTACTGACTACTGTTTCAAACGTTCTGGCCCATTTGTGGATTGATGCCCCCATGCTCATGCACACCCACTGAAGTAACCCACAACTGTGCACAGCAGAGATTGCTGCCATTGATCTGCATCAACAGTGGGGCCATTAATGGGACAGCATTGACAGAATACATCCTGCCTTCCTCACTCCCCAGGGCCTCTGCAGCATGCCACGTGTCTGTTAGAAAGCTGCCCATACTGCCTCTTCCAGCTGGGCACCAGCAGTGTGGAAACAGAGAAGTGGGCATCTAAGTGAATTTAAAACATGGCCTGCCAGCCGATCAAAGCAGAATACAGTGTTTAAAGCTACAGAAGGCAATACAGTTATGTACAGTGGATTTCTTTTATTAGATATAATGCATAACTTTTGTTTGGCGATAACAAAATCGAGGCTGTACTATTACAGAGTATTTCACCCTACCATAACTTGGAAACTGCAGACTGACTTTGTACAGATAAAATCTTTTTATCAGCTTTGTACACGTCTGTCCCCACAGAAGGTAATTAAGTAATAATTTAGGGGACAACCCTTGACAGAAAAGTCAAGCCAGTGTTATAACTTATGAAGGATCCTTTTTCCAGGATGGAGAGACATGGATGTTGTGTGTACAGTTGTAGTGTAATACAGTGAAATATCAGAATGAAGTCTGGAGTAGTGACAGAAAGCCTAGTGCCTAGAGATAGTGTGAAACTCTGGCAAAAAATACAAAACTATCTGCATGTGTAGTTACCATGTGGGGTCAGAAATTACTGGTGATTTGGGTGAAGTGACCTTTTTAAGCACTGAAATTATAACAAGCTAATAACTCTTCTAACACTTTTACATTCAACAGAGATGATTAAATCCAACACTCCAGCCAAAGCTATTCTAAAGCTAGCTAAAGCTGCAGTTATATAGAAAATCTGCTTTTCTTACTTTCAGGCATGATGTGATGCATGGCTACAGACAGGAAGAAGATGGCGTCGCTGTAGTAAGCCCCAGAGCCTGCGCTGAAGTGCTTCTGCATGGCCTCCACTATAGGAAACAGCTTCTGCGTGAGAGCCACCACGTCATGAAACAGCACCTGAGGGAAGATCGGCAGTGGAATCAAATCAGAATAACAACATTCTATCTGCAGTAAAGCTGTTAAGTAGTTGAAATATTGTTTTCTTAAACTTACTGGTACTTAACATCTTGTGTTTTTGTTTAAAATTTTGTTTTTTTCCTCTTAAAAGTTGCACTACAGGTTGGATTTTATTAGACTGTACTAAGAGAAATGCCTCTATCTGCTTGGCCCCAACAGCAACCTCAACTAAGACCTTCTTTCTCAAATGAAGGCTGAAAAAAACCTTTGGTGCACTGTCATCAACTTTCACCATGTTTTCACTGACACAAACCAAACCATGTTGCATGCTGCGCCTGTGTCTGGCTACCGTTGCTAGCTTTGGCTGATGCTCGACATTAGTTAATCCTTTAGTGGGGGAGTTTTTCAAAGCACAGTAATCAATTATGGTATTAAAGATAATTAAAAGTAGACACAATAATACTAGCCATTGTAAAATTCATCTTGGTTTACCATGAAACCGGTAACTGATTCATCCCTGGCGGCCAACAATTGAAGTAGTGCCTCAGATAGTCACACTGAACAAATCCAAATGACTATATTTTAAAAGTAATGACATTATTTTTATTTATCCAACTATATGATACTGACAGAGGAGCCCATGGAAATCTTTTTTAATAAAATACTTAAGACTAAAAATGAGTTTAAACCCACCTACACCAACAAGATTATCTTCTTCTAAGGTATGAGCTTGCGTTGCAGTGAGCCTCTGAGGATGACATCAACAGCTTATATGATTTTTTTGATTAGTTGACACTACTTTACAGAATAGAGAAGCCTGCTCCCATGGCTTGGGCTATGAATATTTTATTTTCACATGCACAGCTGGCATCTTTCACCTCCTCTTGGTCATCATTATAAGAAAGCCAGTCAATGCCAACATTGTCAGCTAAAAATTGGTGTACTAGGAAGAATAAAAAGAAAAATGTGTTTATAAAAGTTTGAGTTTTGCATTCTCCATACGACAGTTGTACAGGGATGCTGATCTTTTATGCCGATTCTACTAAATGCCATTTTCTTGTGTCCAAGTTTCCTGCCTGTCAGTGCTGCTTATGATAGCAACTCTTGAGGCAGCAATCTCTGCTGTGATCATGTACAGCCCTACAGATTACTGAAAGAGGATTTTTGAAAAAATACAGTAAGCACAGATTATCATTAAAGCTTTTCTGCATGTTAAAATATACATTGATTCTTTTTCCTGAGGAGAATCAGGCCTTTTCTGTTTCAGTGTGTACGTTCAAGGCTTCACATAAACCCTGGACAATAACACTGCTGAATTATAAATCAGACCCATGTGTCTCAGTGGGTAAACATCATCTAATGATGCCTCGCAGATTAAGGTAAGCCTTCTGCTCTATCCTGTGTAATAGCACATGAATAAATATTTCCAAATGCCTGATAAATAATGCCCACTCATTGGTACTGTTGTGGACATATACATTTCATGCTTTTATTATATATTTTTTAAACCATTTTAAAAGAACCAAGTTCATAATCATCAGATTATGAATTTGTGTTCACTGTTAGTACAGCAGGGGGCATCTCATTTCCAGTTTTTGCTGCTTTGGTTTCTATGTTTCTCTGTGCAGAATACAACCAAAAATATAAAACAAAAGTTGATGCTCTCTTTGTTTTCATAAAGACAGTGCAACTGTCAGTCACAAACACTTTAAACCATCATACAAACCAAAGCAAGACATGAGTCAAATCAAGAGCAATATAATGTCTGGTTTTTACACTGTAACATCTTTGGACAGAGAACTTTACCGGAGGACAGTAAATCTGAAATCCAATTTTTATGGCATGTTTTTTACACTTCATAAACTATTTTGAGCAATTTCCCACGAATCTGTGAGAACGCAGACTATAACTTTCCAACAACTGTGCCACAACACATAATGGAACAAGGTCCTAGGAAACTTTAAATTTGTTTTACATATTTCCAACATAGACTGCAATTTAGTCAAATGAACCAAATGTGAGATTTTGCTCAAAAGGTCACAAAGGATTGTGAGGTGTGAGCAAATAAACACTAGGTGACCCATACTGACATAGGAAATGCTTATCACAGTGTAGTAAAGGCCAGAAGTATTTTGAAGGCTTAAACGATCGAAACACCACACAATTCATTTACACTAATATAGGCTACTGCATACTGACTATCAGATTCTGAATGCATAGGGTTTATTTGGAACAGGCAACAACAACAAAAAAAAGTTATTTTTGGTTCATATTTTGTTTTCAAACACACAATGATCCCATTTTGTCACACGAGCAGCTTTTGTTATGCAAGATTTACTCTTCTAGCAGTGCTAGTTAAGTTTCTCCTTTATTAAGATATTTTTTGGACATTGGTTAAAAAAGCTGCCATTGCTTGTGCACCATTTAATGTGATTAAAGGGACCAGAACCAAAGGAGTGCACTGACTACCCAGCCTTGGAAACGGACATCCTTGAATGCACAAGTCTGGGTCTGGTTTAAAGTAACACTACTTAAAAACAGCAGCAAAGCTTAAGCTCCTAAGTACTGGTTACTATTTTATACTTTGAACGTGTGGTTTGTAAACAGCATTTAAAGGCCCACCCTTCCCCAAGAGACATAACTCTGAACAGAAGATGAGTGGAGTAAAGAACTTTTAGCCGGTGCACACTTTAATACAGAATGATAATCAGGGAAAAACTGGATATGTACATCACTTTAGAACAACAAGATATTTTTATTTAGACAGTTACTTCCTGTCAGTAACTAGGAATCATATCATAAGACTTGATTCCTTTTCAGTCATTAGCGCTAAAGACTTGTGTGAAAGATGGTCAGCAGTAATGAGCACAGCCTCTGGGAAGCGTGACTCTGCAGGCTGTTTGCTGTCAAGTGGGTCTTGGACTTTATCACAGTTGGCAAGTAATGGAGGCAGAATTTCTGCATAACTGTTGCCTTGCCCTAAGATAATAAGTAAAAGAAATGAGGCTCGGTATGAGCAGACAAGGATGTCAACGTGCTCAAACACACTGCCTCGCTCAGGCCCTGGGGAGTCCCTGTCCCATCTGGAAAGCTGGAGGGACTCTTCTCTGTGCCTGCTTGTGTGCACGTCAGGAGACACAGAGGACAGTGTGGCTGTGCTTGTGTCAGTGATGGCATAACATTAATTCACCATTCATTATCTCAATCCATGTTTAAAACCAACAGTCTTCTATGATACCATGAAATTTATAGCACCACTGGGTCTACAGCCTTCAACTGTGTAATAGTTTGCAAACTTGTTTTCCTAAGCAGCTATGTACTAACAGGAGCCTGACTAATACATCAGCATTGCTGAGAATACAGTCAAAATGTCAAGAATGAAGTTGAAACATGATTTCCAGAAAAAAGTTGAACTGTTACAGTTTGACATTGGTGGCTGCCTTGTAATTTTCTATGCACAAAAAACCCTGTGAGCAGAACATTTTACAGTGGAAAAATAAACTTGTCCGTTTTGTCTGTGTCTAATGGAGACACAGTTTCTAAATGGCCGCATTTCTGTACTGCACGTTTTACTTTCCAGTTGACATAGCCATACCGATACATCTACAGTAAGGTAACATCATCCTGGCAGATTCATCAGTCTGACTCTAATCCAGTATTAGTCAGGCTGTGCCACTGTCTGTACAGCTGCAGTGCACAGAGCACGTAATACCACCAGCACCATAGCCTTAGTTGTCTCTAAGCTTGAACTTATTGCCAAAATATTTACATATCTGTTTGTGATGCCATTAATCAAAGACCCTTGCAATTCTATATTTTTAGTTATCATTCTATAATGCCCATATTTTATTCTGCTCTACAAATGTGTTGTGTATCTTGGATAACTTCAATAGTTAAGTGCAGAGTAATCATGAGTATTTGGCTGAGCAAGTAAAAGAAGGGGTAGGAGGATCATCTTTGCATGTCAGTTTGGACTGTATTTTTGAGAAGGAGGCCTTATCTCGCCCTGAGTAACACTCTGGTAACACAACTCATCCGTCTTATATCAGTGCAGTGGATCTCACCACTATTCATCACACGTCAGAGCTGAATAGTGCTTTACGTTACACACTTCAGCTGTTCTCCCACAAGCCACTCAGACTGCAAAGAGTATCTGAAAAGCACAGAAAGCAAACTAACCCACAGGCTCAAAACTGCCAAGCTGAGCAAACCTCTAACCCTCTAACCAATCCAAAACACACACAGGATCAGTCTGAACTAACAAAGAGCTGTGTAACATCTACACCATAAATGATGAGATATCCTGAGAGAAAAGACCTAGCTTGTGAGAAGGATTTGGGAATGGATGAGGAATTTGTAAACAAGTTCAAGATCTTGTGCTCTGTTGAGAATACAAAAGAAGAGAAATGGGGCAGGACATTGTATGCAACAGAAAGAGCAACAGAGAATGGACATAATCCTCTGTTTTGGCAGGAAGATCACAGTAAAGGAAGGACATGCCCATTAGTGAGGGATCAAGTCTGGCGGACCAACACTGCCCCCATGTGTTTTTAGTTTCAACAGCCAATGTGCGTCTCTTAGAGGAGGTCTTTTTAAATTAGGCTCATAGGTCAGGGCGCATCGGATTTTGTGCTTGTTGGATTGTTGAACAGTGTCTGAACTCCCTTCCAGTCAAGCCAGAATTTATTTATACAGCCTAACATCAGAAATCACACATTTTGCATAAAAGGGCTTTACACTCTGCATCTGGCAATTGTCATAGCTTTTCTAAACTTGACAACCTGAAAAGCACACCCATTCATTCATAAATCAGCCAGATATGTGGACGTAGCTCAATAAATATACTTCATGATGTAAAAAGAAAAAAAAAGAAAAAAACAAGCAAAACAAAACAATTTCAGTGCACATCAAGGCAACATTTTTTGACTGCCTACCTCATACTCAAAAGTTGCATCAAGGAGAAATTCGTCCAGCATCCTTTCTCCCACTGCTTGGCTGGCCTGGTCACTCACAAAATGAAGAACCAACACCTCTCCTTCCAGGAAGTGTCCGTGCTTCACCATTGACAACATGGCCACCCTGAACTTATCCTGAAGGCTCCGGCTCTTGTCCACCTTGGTGAACATCATGAGTGCATGGTAGCTCTGGTCAACAGCACCACTGTCACCTTTCTTGGTCCTATAACCCTCGCTGTCTCCTACATCTTGTTCTTCCCCCCCTTGCTCCTCAGATCCATGTGTATGCGAACCCCCGATGTCCACAGTCAGGTCTGCATCGTTTCTGTTGGTGTTGTGACTGGCCTGCGTTTGCTTGATCCTCTTGGTGGTGCTGGAGAAGTTCTGCCTCTCGGAGCCAAAGTAGTAAAAAGCTACAACAGCGAGTGCAGCAGCCAGAAGAAGCACAAACTGGTAGGACCTGAACGTACTGATCCTACCCATGATTCTAGCTACCAGTCTTAGGATGCCCATATCCCCCTAGTGTCATGAGAATGGTGGTGTAAATGGGAAAACATTCACCATTTTGTGTCCTTCCAGTTCATGGTTATTTTTCATAAGTGTCCAAAATTCTCCTGTAAGAGAAAGAATATTCACTATAATCCTTGTATTGACACTAGAGCTGAAATGATTAGTTGATTAGATGATTGACAAAAATTATTAGGAACTTGTTGAATTGTTTTGGTGTATTTATGATAGAAAATAGTGAAACAATGCCAAATATTCTTTGATTCTAGGTTTTCAGATGAAATGATTTCCTCTAGACTATTAGTTTACAGTGACTACCCAATAGTTTGGGGTATTTTGACTTTAAGTAAAGCAAAACAAGACATCTGAATATGTTTTCTGATCTCTGCAAAGATGTAATGTGTATTTGACATTTCATAAACTTAATCTAAAAAATAATCTGTGATAGTCTAACATCTTAAAGCACAATTTAACAAAATATAAAAAGTTATTCCTTGGATTGGTGACAAGATCAATGGATAAACCGCATCCAAAGTTGGTAATGGTTTTAAGCGTTGCCAATTATCTTTTTGTTTCCATGCTGTTTTTATATAGCATAATGTTAAGATGAACATTGTTCATTGTGGTATTCCTTGTCTTAATTGTTCTGTTTGAAACTTGTAAATAAATACTGGCTTCCAAGTTTTCTACAGACTGTTTTCAACTCAGACTCATAAATACTCTTACCGCGCACAGAAAAATAATTTGCCGTAAAAAAAGGATAGTTTATCCACTTGCCTCTCCTATGTTGAATCCATCTGCTCCCATCCTGACAGCTTGTTCGGGGATTACACTTAAATTGATGGATGAAGCAATACTACGTCGTAGTCCTTGAGTTGCCCTGCGATGCCATGTTCGCTTAATCCAAGCGCTAGACTAAGCAGAGTTTTAGTGTTTACATCTAGCGATGTATCTGTGCATACCTTTGTCCTTTAAAAACTACAACAGGTTTTGCACGGCTGTGTGCTTTCGAGAAGAAATAGGAACCAACATTCGCTGCAACAACATGAGTAAAAGCTACTAGCTAGCAACCGAAGCCTGACACAATCTTAACCACACCCACTCTGGATTTAGCCGTATTCCGAGTTACGATGCCTTAAATTGCTGTCAGGAAAAAGTGCCCTCTTCAGTAAATGCATATGAAAACAGACTTGCAGTGTCAAAGTCATCTGTACTGTCCTGCACAATCGAGATCAGACATCCAAGCGAACAGCTTTTTTGAGTTTGGGTTATAATTGTATAATACACTCAATACATAATATAATTTTCTTGCCTTTATCCTGTACTTGCAGCGTTTATAAATGGCATTAATTGCAGATAATTTAATACACTTATTCAAATACAATACTGCATTTCAGAATCAGAATCTGCTTGCTTTGTTATTTTATTTATTTCCATTATTTGTATATACATACTAAGCTTAATTATTCTTATTTTTAAAACTCTTCTTAAGTTAAAATTACATTACTTCTCCTCTCACCAAAGCCCATTGGAATCTCAATTTCACACACAGTACTGGAAATGTTTCAGTGTAACTTGTGAGACGGCAATAAGGGCCCTTGTATAACTGTGTCCTTGTGTTCGTGTTTGCAACTGTAAAACTCGAGCTCCCAAACTGCACATGAAAGCATCGTGCTTTGCATCACGACATTTCGTACAGTGGTATTATTGCTCTTGTCTGTTGTCTTCGTGTTTGTAGCAAACGCTAACCACCGTTCAAATCATAGGAAAAATGCTAGTTTTTCTATTCGCCTAAAATTTGCGCTCTCCTTAAACGTTTCCTAGCTCATCTTTATAAGATTTCGATTCAGGTACGTCGTTACCATAAAACTAGCTAGCTTGCTAGCCAGTCGTGAAAAAAAATGAATTCCAGCACGCACGTCGTTCAGGTGACGAATGTCTCCCCGAGCACAACGTCCGAGCAAATGAGGACTCTGTTTGGATTTCTCGGAACCATAGAGGAGCTCAAACTATTTCCACCTGAGTGAGTATTCTAAAATATACACATAGGTTAAACGATTTCTTAGCTAGCTAAAGCGGGTCACACTGTGCTCCATTTTGAGGCCTGTAGCGTACCTTAGGCCTTTCTGCACGGCATGCTAATAATGCTAACGTTTCCCCGCGACTTTAGCTATAAACGTTACTGCATGAGGGGCACATCTGGCACTAGAGCTGCAACTAGCGATTTTTAGGTGTCCATGAATTTTCTACATTAGTCATTTTGTCTAATATAGGAATAAAAGTAATGTCAGGAAGTAGTGAAAGGTGCGCTAGATTTACCAAGCTGAGAATGAAATGTTTGGAATTTTTACCTAAAAAAATATTACTTGTTTATGACAATAGTTTATACGTTTTGATTAACTAGTTAATCAGTGCAGCTTTACCGTGTTTTTGTGATTTAACTGACATTTAAATTCCCTCTACTTCTGACATAAAGTTAACCTGTGTGGCTGTTTTGATACCAGTTTGAGACAATGGTCAACCAAAAATGATCGGGCCGCCACTCATGATTCGGTCTTTTCCTGAATATTCTGCCATGAATGGTTTTAAATTTTTTTTTTTTGATTAATTTGTTCAGAATCTTAACATGCATGTTAGCATCATTGCAAATCCATTAAATATTTTTGAGGTTTTATAACCTAAGTGATTGAGCAACAAGAAAAGTAGCTCTCAGACTCTAGCTTCCAATAGGAAGTAATTGTTCTCTGCTTTGTATTTTCTTCTATCAAATTACACCTGGCTACTGTGCAGGTAGGAAATGCCTGCTTTGCAGTTGAGATTCAGATCTTCAGCTGGTTATGGATAGCTGTTCTTATATCAATGCCACATGCTAAAAATGTTATTGTAAGCTGACATGGTTTTATTTTGGATTTTAGAATGAATCTGTTATACTAAGCAGACAATTCAGTGTTGTTCATAATCCATTAGTAACTTGGGGGTCGGTTTCACAAAGCTAATTTAGACTGGTGTGTAGTGAAGGACTGGTCTAAATTTACTCTTAAACTAGTCTTATGGAAATTAGACAAGTTTGGTATTTCACAAAAATAAAGACTGGCTTACTTTAAGCCTAAAAATTAGTTACCCTACACCCAGGACAACTGAGACCTGGGTTTCCATATAAATATGCTGAACAACCGGAGACAGTAGCTGTGTTGTGCCACAGGACCAACTGACAAAAAGGAGGAATCCTTTACTCGTAATTTGCTAAATTCTGTACTGTTATTATTAATATTAAGCACCATTGATAATTAACATTTGTATCTCACATGAAGTAGCAGATCTATCCACTTGGACTACAGCAACGGACTCTCCCTCTCACCAGTCCCACTTTTCTGTCACCTGGCACTGCTCCTCTTCTTGGGCTCCCAGACTCTTTCC